TGGGAGGTGCAGTTCAAATGACCAAGTAATTGCGGCTGCTGGACTGCAATAAAAACTGCAGAACGCGTGAGACCAGCTTTGGGTTAACCTTACTCACGAAAACCCGACTGTAAGATCATAAATAGAAGTAAGTTTCTTAGATAGCGGCTGCTCTCGTCTGACTCTGGTTGGCGTGAAAATCAAGCGGAACAATTCGCCTTCAACTTTTGTTCTTCCTTTTCCCTCGGACAGTGTAATTCCTTTCCAATAGCAAAGTTTCCCTTAAGTCTCGGTTTTTTTATCACAGTCGTCTGTGCCGTGGGTGATGTGAGAGTTGGTATTCCCGTTGGTTGCAAGCAGTTTATTTCCAAAATTTTTTTATTTCATATTGCTTCTCTGCCTGGCTGCTTACTATTGTTATCCTGGTCACTGCGATAGCAATTCATTTCCTCGGTGTACTTTGATTCCCAGCAAAATTTTGCGCAGCTTTCTGTTCCTCTTTAGATCCGACTCACTCTCTTATACTGCCTTTTATCCAAACACCGTCGAAATATTAAATTAACTTTCATTATTTTGCTGATTTACGAGGAGTTTGGTTCAGACTTACGTGAACCTGTGATGAATATTTTGTGTTTGTTCTTTTCTCTTCTTTAGCTGAATATGTCACGGTGGCTCGCTCTGTGAAGCAACTTTTCCATGAGTACAACATACACTGCACGACAATTCAGCCTGAATTTGAGGATGTGAGTCAATGTAGCCTAAAATTCTATTCATCTTCACCTTAAAGTGGACGTCCTCTGTTTCCTTGTCCGTGACTTTTCGCCAGCTCGAGTGAATGCTATCCAGTACAGGTGGAAGCGAGGCAATGCGAACCTCTAAATTGAGTGCAAAATTTGAAACCTCTTCAACATTCTTCCCATCCGGTTGAAGTCCTTATTTTAGTCTATCAGCCTTTTAATTGCGAATTTGTTTATTTTGACCTCAAATACTAGTCATATAATTTTTTCCCACGTGCGAATACCATAAAATCGCAACCGTGAAAATTTAAATACGTTTTCGCAAGGGAAAATCTTTTGAGGATTCCGACTTGTTTGATGAAATTCATGAAGGGAATGCTCTCTTAATGCCAAAACCTTTATTACTGCAAATTATGGTAGCACAGCCCCTTTTCTGTTATCATACTCAGCCTGTTATAATATCCATTTTTTCAAGCCATAAGATATTTCAGAAAATCCCAAGCGTTGAACACATTTTCGAGGGCAACTGACTATCTTATCCAAACTACGTGTTCACTTTTTGTAATCTCAGTAAAACTGGGTGTGGGGCGCTTGGGGGCTGCCATTTAACCGTAAATCATTAGTCAAAACCCAGTCTCCCTTGTCTTTGCCAGCCATACTATCTATTTAATACCAGCTCTTACGGCTGTCAGGGCCTCCGTCGAAGCCCAAGGCAGAGTGGGACAGATGAGGTGCGTTAGTGGTCAGGTGAATGTTTATCATCAAGAGTCAAAAAACTGTTACCGACGAAGACATGGGCAACTGAGCATGTTACTTGTGATTTATTTTCTGACATTAATCATAATGCATCTAGTAGAAGATTTCACTCACTCCTCGTTGACTAACTAATCGGAGTCCAGAGTGGTTATGGCTGCCTGGTCGTGTCCTATAGACTACGACCGTCATATCCGAAAAATATTCGTCTGTCTCTG